ACCCTTGTTGGATGTATGATTTGCAAATATCATTTCCAATTCAGTTGGGTTGCCTTTTTATTTTGATAGTAGTTTCTTTTGCTGTGCAGCTTTTTGGTTTGCTGTAGTCTTATTTACCTTTGTATTTGTTTTCCTTGTCATTGGAGTCGAACTTTCAAAGACTTCTCTAAGGCTGATGTCAACAACATTGCCATTTTGCTTTGGCTCAAAATCTTTGCCCCTGGGCTTATCCTTTTCTTCAGTGATGCAAACTTGCAACGCCCTCTTTGTGGTATATCAGACACTCCTGTTTCCCACCTGTAAGGAAGGAAACCCTTTTGGATGCCTTTGCTCCTTTTCCTGTGTCCCACTCTCTTTAATTACCCTTCTCCGGGGACCCGCCTCATTCTGGAATATATGACAGGATTATATATGCTTTCAAAGGGACCAAGAGCCTCACTAGAGTTGGAATACATTAGCAATTGTTTTCCTTCCAATAAAAAAGGGATGTAACCATGCAACATACACCAGGGTAATTAAAGCCAGCTTCAGGTTTCTGCAACTTCACTCAAAAGTGGGAAAAATTTCTTGAGTCCTTTTCCACGTAGAGGAGGAGGAAGAACTGGAAATGTAGCAGCCCAGTTGTTGAATAGTTAAATGAAATAACTTCTGACTTGTTCTCGTTTGGTTCTGTAAATTTTTTAGAGATTATAAAAAAATAAAGCCAAGCTTTGCTTGTCCCATTATGAAAGGGCTTTTACAATTTCTCATTCTGATGGGATTTTTAACACGGGAAGCAGGAGGCAAGGAAGGCCTGGGCCTCTCCAGGGATTTTTGCTGAAGCCTGACTCAGCCACCAGGTCAAAAGGGGGTAGTCCCTGGGGCTGCATGCCTGGAGAAGGGAAAACAGACCCCTCTGTTAGTTCCTGCTGATAATAACGCAGACTGCGTGGGCAGACATTGCTCATCCACTGGCTGGAGGGAGCATGTGCTTCAGCACATGGGCTGTTCTTCACCTTTATGGACAATGTGACTTGGCAGCTAAGAGGGCATTAGGGGGCCAGAGGCCTGCTGACTGAAATCCTGGTAGGATCGCATCTCAGAAACCTACCCAAAGGTGATGGTGTTGGGGTGTGAGAATGCAACCCCTTCTTCATGCCTCTGTTCCTTTCTCTAGTCCTGTGACAGCAGAGAAGAGCAGAAAGTTTCTTAAGAGATGCTCTGAGAAATAGTTTCCAGACTAAATTCCCTGATTTGTGCTCATTCACACACTTGCTTTTCAAAGGCCGCAGGTTAAAAAAAAAAGATTGTATAAGTTCAAACAAGTAGGGAGAAATAGGCATGTGAGGTTGGAAGGTGACTGGTAGTGCAGAGCTCAGAGGACGGGGGAGATGCCTTAGGACAAGGACTATGTCTGGCTCCCAGGGTATGATGGCCTGGCCACTATACCTAGAACACATTGGCTCTTTGGCAAGGGTTTTAGGTCCTTGTGACAAATGGGTCAGGGAAGGATGCCACCTCCGCTCTGTATCATGTGTAGAACCTACCATGTTCCTTGCATGTGGCTGGTGCTCAAAGCATTATTGTTAAATATCTATCATTGCTTTTTAATGCACCTTTTTATTCCTTAACCGGGGTAGAACTATACCCTCTTTGTTTCATTCTTTTACTCATTTGGCAAACGTGAGATATTGGTTGTTAGGCATCCTACTCTTTCCTCCTTGGAATGCTGAGTCAGAGGTACTCCAAGGACAAGGTCTCCTGGCCTCCTCCCAAAAGGATGGTTCTCTTCAGTTCATGGGCACATTCTTCCTGTATGCAGAATGAATGAATGAATTTTCCGGAGACAAGACCAACTTTCTGTAGAGGATTGCCTTGTTTCTCATATGTTCCCATGACTTTTGAAAGACAGGCTGTCTTTTTGGTAAGCAGCAAGTATCCATCCTCCTCTGCAAAGAAAACCTCAAAAAACCAACTGGACTCAAGATGGTTTCTCCTATTGTACTGGCAAAATGAGTCCGTTCACCTAGAGCATTTCTGGTCATTCAGGGTTACTTGGCATCCTGTAGCAGGGAGAGGTCGGAACTGGAGATGTAATGTTGGGAATAATTAGTGGTGTTAAAGAATGGTGAGATCACCAGGGGAGTGGATATAGGCAGAGAAGAGGAGAGCTGGAAAGACCAGGGGTGGGCACTGTAACATTAAGTGGTTTGGGAGACAGGGAGAAACCAATGAAGGAGATCAAGTAGGCACAGCCAGAGAAGTGAGTGGAAACACGACTTCTGTGGGGGAGTAATATCCTGGAAAAAAGAGGAAGAAAGCGTATCAGGATGAGGGATTGGTTAAGGGCAACAAATCGCATGGAGAGATGCAGGAGGATGAAGCTAAGCTGTGCCACTGCATATAACAAGTGAAGTTATTGGTGATCTTGGAAAGGACATTTTTGGTGGTGAGATGAAGCGGGGGTCTGATTGGAGTGGGCTCTAAGAGTTCATTCATCTTTGCTGCTTCATGAAGTGGAACAAACCAGAATTTCAAAAACCCCTGGTAGATAATTCCTCATCCTGTCTCTATTAGCTCCTCTTACATTCTCGCTGGAATTTTCTGCACATTCCTAGTTGATGGGATTATGGATCGAGCACCAACCATGAAAAATCACATCATCAGAATTTGGGATTATAGTAATTATTGCAATGCCTTGAAGTTAAAGCCTCGGCCTTTGGGCAGGACAGGAAATGTTAAAATAGGAAGTAAGAAATCATTAAAATTGAGTCCCTCTATTTACATGTGAAACCGAGGCTCAGATTAGGGATACAGCTTATCTAAGTCAAGTAACTGCTTTGATGCACTGCCTCTCTTTTCCTACCCAAGTGTACCTGGTGGATGAAATCTGTACTTTTAAAAATGAATACTGATCATTTTCTTTTTAAAAAAATATATTTATTTATTTATTTATTTATTTACAAGCACTGGGTATAGTCAGAAGCATGGGAGGGTGAGGGAATTCACCAGAGCCAGAGCGGGGAACAGAACAGGCAGACTGATGAAATACACTGCTGAGGGGAGCAACGGGCACAGCAGGAGAGGTCTGTGAGCCATGTGGGACCCGCGCTGGCGGCTGGGGATCAAACTGGTGCTGCAGAAGCCGTGGGCAGCTTCGCAGCCCAGTGCTCAACTGCTGCACCACCCAGGAGGCCCTGATCATTTTCTTAAAAAAATATTTTATTTATTTATTTATTTATTTATTTACACATACAAGAGCTAGGGTACAGGCCAGAGATGGGTGGGGGCCGGGGGGAGGGGCAGAGAATTCACCAGAGACAGAGTGGGGAACAAAACAGGCAGACTGACTGAAATACACTGCTGAGGGGAGCTGCGGGTGAGACAGGAGAGGTCTGCTGTGCCATGTGGGTAGCTCCCTGGCCAGGGATGGAACTCATGCTGCAGTGGCTGCTGATAGCTTCATAGTGCTGAGACTTAACCCCTTTTGCCACTAGGGAGGCCTGATGCTGATCATTGTTAAAGATTGCACATGTCTAATTTCTAAACATTTGAATACCCATTTTGGGGTTGTTAGATTCTTTTTATAAATAACTTGAGCCACTCACATTCAGAAAACCCTGAGCTGGGTCTTCCTGTCCTCCTTCCTATCCTCTCCCTTGTAATTTTTTTTTTTTTTAATGATGTAAACAGAGTTGCTTTGGCCAGTTTCCCTGGGTTTATTCCTCCAAAGATGGTGGCTGGCCCTCCCTGTCTCCTGCTAGTTGGTGTTGTCATTCTTGGAGAGGGCCCAGGTTGGACTATGCTGATGTGATTAAAGCTTTCTGGTGTTAAGGTTGTTCATCCAAAGTGCATCACCTACTGGGCCTCCCTCCAACGGGAGGAAAAGAGCTCACTTCCTCCTGTAAGCAGTTATAGATTCTTAACCAGGAACAATGAGCCCTTCTGACTACCCATCTGCCTAATTAGTCCCTGAAATTTTCCTTCTGAGCAGATACTACAGGACAGTCCTTGCTCTGTCTCTGAGAGGATTCTAGGCTGTGGCTGAAAAGTTTTTGGTTCCTGGACTTCACCCCCTTCCCTACATTTCCCACTTCCACGGAAAATATAAAAGATAAATCTGAGATTCATTAGCATTCCTAGGCACCAAACATTGATTTAAAATCCATTTATAATTTAGTTGATTATAAAGAGAGCTTATTGTTTTATTCAATAACTGGACATTGAATGAATTAATGAAAGATCCAGTTGGAGAGAGATGCTAAACCAATGGTTCTCGAGCTAAGCTTCCCGTTAGAATTATATGGGGAGCTATGTCTTACCATATACCAATTAAGCCAAAAATTTTCAGCGGCAGGACGTAGGTGGTGTTATTTTTTACCCCACCCCCCGATGATTCCATTTACACCCAGTTTGACAAGAAGTCTGATAAATCTGTGCTTCTCAAATGTGGGGATCTTGTTGGACTTTAGATTCTGAATCAGTAGGTCTGTGGTGGAATCTGTACTTCTAACAAAAACCTACATGATAACTGAGGCTGCTGGTCTGGGGACCACTGTTTAACAAGATACAAAAGGATCATTAAGAATATGCAAAGATGCCCACAGCTAAGTGACAAATTAAAGAGAGCGCTGGAAAGAGCTGTGAGAGTTTCAGGAAAGATCAGTGTCTGCTGGGTGCTGAGGGAAGGACAGACACCAAATGAGAGCGAGAATGACTAAGGGAGGTACTTCAGTGGCAGAAGGCCCTGGAAGGATGATCAGGTTCAACCCTGTGTTTACGTTGCATAGAACACTGTGGTCACTCAGCCTTCTTGGCCTCAGGGCAGAGCCCACCAACCATGTGCTCAGGCCTTTTTAGAGCCAGTGGCTCCTGCATGCCCTTTAAGTGCACCTGCACCCCTGGGTCATGGTGTCCCTGCCTCATGGATGGAGATCAGCCCATAGCACAGAGGGCTCCTGGCGCTTTGAGGTCCTTGCTGAGGGTTCAGGATGCTCTCATCTCTAATATTTCTAGGTCCAGGTGTCATCCTTAATTAACAGGAGACACAAGATATGGAAGGAGATAGCCCTGGAAGACAGTCATCTCCACACTTGTCTATGGAAAGAGGTTCAGAGAGCCCTCTGCATGTGAAAACTTCTGAGAAGAACTGCCTCTTGACACAAGACTACCCCTTTGTTTCCAGTCAAGGCAACCACATGACAGGTGGGGAGCTGGTGAGTTAGGAAGGGATCATGTCTGCCATATAGTACAGATGCACTTGAGCTGGCTGATTGGACCCTGAGAACACATTTGTCATAGGAAGGGTCACATGATGTTTGCCATTTGTCAGCTTCTCAGGGTGATGGGAAATATTGATCGCCTAGTGCTGGGCCTGGGAGGTCTAGAGCTGAACAAGTTCTACTCTGCTTTTGAGCTGCTCCTCTGGGATAGAGGGGAGACAGATGAATATGGCAGTGTGTACATTGAGACACAATGTTGGAGGCCAGTCTGTCCCTGGCACAAGTGCAAAGTCTGTGCACTGTCATTGGTTCCCTTTCTTCTTGGGGGTGAGTGTCCTTGGGAAGTGAGTGCCCTTCCCATAGGGGTGAGTGCCCTTGGGAAGTGAATTCTCATGGAAGTGGGTGCCCATGGAAGTGGGTGTCATTGGAAATCTACAGTTGCCCCCCTGCTCTCCATGCCACGTACCCACTGGCTTCTGTCTTGTTTTTCCATAAATGGTATGTTGTGGCTTGAGGATATCAGTGCCAAGATGGATACAGTCACCTCAGGTCCCTGGGGCTTTCTGTTGAAATTTGGCAGGTGCTCCACTATCAGTTCTTGATATTATCACTTCCCCAAAAACTGTTGCCCTTCTGCTGCTAGACAGCAATTGATTGGCCCAAGGAAGTCATTTGGAGAAAACCTTTAATGTGTAGTTGTTTTGCGTGAGTTGGAATTGTGCTCTTAAAATAATGAATGCACAGGTTAATGGGGAATGGCAAAAATCCAGAAGCTGGTTGGGAGGTAGGAGGAGGAACCTTGGGGTTTCACGAGAGTGCTTGTGAAAGGGACAGGGTAAGGGAAATGAGCCAGCATTGTCACAGCTGCATAGTTGAGACATTACGTAGGGGAGGTTTTTGGCATTAGTGAAGTTGTCTTCTCCTATACACGAAAACACAATCTAACATCTGCACAGGTGTCTCTAGTCCCCAAACGCTCATCCACCTATTTTCGGTGTTCATATCATCCTTTATTTCAACCCATCTCTTTTCAGGGGTCATGTTTCCAACTACTCCCCCAAATGATCTCCCTGTGGTTTCTTGGTAATTCCATTTCCTTATGCAGTGGGAGTGAGGATTGACAATTTTGTGTTATTAATTGGATGTGCAAAGAAAAGGTAACTTTAACTTTTTTTTGTAGTGGATCTAATCTTGCTGCAGTATCAGATGGGTAGAAAACACTTTCCGTGTGTTTCAACCTGCCAGTTAAACCATCTAAAACTTACCTGATTTATAAGTGCTGTCGGGGCAGGAAGTGACAGAGCTGGATCTCTATGACCCGAGCAGACAGGTGAAGGAGAGAACCAAGGGTTCACTTGAACCCTTGGTAACTTTTTCAGGCCTTTACTGAGTTTACCAGGTACACGGCAGGCAGGGGTGCTGGGGAAGGGGGTGGGCGTAGGGCCGGGGGGCGGGGGGGAGACTGGCAGGCCTCCCAGCCCCTGGCAAGTCCTCACTCTTTCTGGACTCTCTGGCTTCTCTGCTCTCTTCTGGTCTCTCTCTGACGCAGCAATATAAGCCCAGTCTCAGCCCAGGTGAACCCACCTACATATGCCCACACCCCACTCCAGGGGCCCACCGTCAGGCATGCATTCAGGACCGCAGGGATCCATCATCCATCCTGATGGCGGGAGGGCAGAAAAACCTGACAATTACTTACCCTGCAAGTGCTTTCAGTTTAAAATAATCACCTTGGGGGAAGCAGTTATTTCGGGTAAATTCTGCCTTTTTTGATTTCTACGCCTCCTATGTGACCTCTCCAGGAAGGTTGTCGAGGGGCCTCACAGGAGTGGGGAAGGGGCCTCAGTTACATGCACATGGTTTTTCATTGACCCCCACTTCCTCTCTATCCTCTGTATCAGGTCATGGATGGTCCTGGTTCCTGGAGCCCAGTGCAGGACCTGCTCACTCCAGTCAGCTTTTCCTTTTTAAGCGCCCCCCACCCCCCAATGATTAAACCTACTGGTCTAGCTGTTTGCTAAACCACACTCTGTCAAGAAATCAGCGCCTTCCACTCCTCGAGAGGGTTATGCAGGACCTTGTCCCCTGACTGAATCCTACTCTCTCTGATTTAATCTATCCCCTCAGACCCTTTTGTGTCCTGTCCATGAAGAGGCATGAATCCATGTTCTCCCTTCCCTTTGGAGCCATGCAGCTATCTTTTGTGAAATGGTAAGTGTTATGGGTTCACTTGTGCCCCCTCAAAACATGATAGGCTGGAGTCCTAACCCAGGGGACTTCAGAATATGATCTAATTTAGAGACTGGGTCTTCACAGAGGTAATCAGATTAAAATATGATCGTGAACATAGTTTCACTCTAAGTTCTTTGTTGCAGATTTTTTTTTTGCTATAAAAAAGGGATAAAATCATGAAACGCTATCTCTTTGTTAAAATTTCTTCATTAAGAGAGATATCAGTTTACAAATGCTAGGATGACTATTTGTAATGGAGCTTTGAAAACCTTCTATACTGTTGTTTGACACAGTGGGATACTGTTACTTATCACTATTTCTCACATATCTAGCTGGTGATACATAGCTAGGCCACACATGCCCAATCTGTATATTTCACCAAGCCAACAAATAATGGAGATTCTGTGCCCAACACAGAATCTTTATGTAGTTCTTTATTATCTAATAGCCAAAAATTTCCACCATTTTCAAGAAACCTCTGCTCATCAGGACTCAATTATTTCTTTTTGAGAGGTGTAGGGTCAGTAAAGATAGGTCAGGCTTTGGCGCCTCTGGCCTTAGTGGCTATCACCTGCCACCATGATTGTGCTAATTCAGGAGGCGCTTGGGAGTGTGGGCTTGGAGCACGCACAGCTAACGGTGGACACCTGGAGGATGGTGTGGGCATGCGGAAGTGGGCACACCTGAGCCTGGAGGCGGAGGCTATCAGGGTGGTGTCACTCGGTGGAACAGCTGTGGTGGAGAATGGCTATGAGAGGGTCAGAGGAAGACAGCTCCAGAGGAAGCCCAGAGGAAAAAGCGTAGAGAGATTTGCAGGGGGCCCAAGGTGCTGTCTCCCTGCTGACCTGTTTCCCCTGTGTAGTAAAAAACCTGAGTGGATGATGCCAAGGGCTCCAAGGTTCTCTTAAGCTGACTGAGCCAACAGTGAACCTCCTCGGCCGGGGATGGTTGCAGAACAAGGGGATAAGAAAAGCTCGATTCTTCTTTTGCCTCTAACTTCTAATATTGCTAAATTTGGTAAGCAGCGTTAGAGAACAAGCTGGTACGTCTAAATTAGCGAAGGAACTGTTAATGAATGTCCTCGAAGACTGTTGTGAATTACTAGCTGCCTCTATTTGCCACAGTTTGGTAAACTTTTGGTTTGGATGGATGGAAAGGCAGACTGCATTGATGGAAGGATTTGCGAACTGTTATTTTACTGCTGTTTTTCCATCAAGTACATATATGTAGCTGTCACGCACTCTATTTTAAGATTGCCCTATTTGTCACTGTATTGCCTATCATGAGGGTTAATATTTATTTTAAAAAGTGGGAATACTGTGTCAGTTGAAACAAATCTTGAAGCCAAACTGTCAGACCAAACCATCAACTGGTTATATTATCTTTTTACAACAAAATGGCTTTATGGCCGGTTAGGGACGCTGCGAAGACACTTGTGCAAAAGAACGCGGGGAGAAACTTCTTAACAGCCCATTAAGCTGGGTCCTAATCTAACAGGACTGGTGGTCAATGAAAAGAGGCAATATGTGGGGATTTCAGCACAAAGACACCCCCAGAGGAAAGATGGTAAGACCCAGGGAGAAGGCAGGTGGCATCAACCTTGAGGAGCAGGCGCGGCCAGATCATCACCTCACAGCCGGCAGAAGAAACAGCACCGTGATCTTGGGCTTCTGGTTTCCAGAACTGTGAGTGCATACTTTTTTTGTTTGTTTGTTTGTTTTGTTTTGTTTTGTTTGTTTGTGGTGCCCTGTTATGGTAGCCTGGCAAGCTCATATAGGAGGAGCTGACTTAAAAAATGAAAACAAACCTTCTGTGGTGCGTAAAGTGGTCCTCCAAATTCCAGTAGTCCACTCTGGTCACTACTGGGTGCTCTTGATACCAAATAATAGTAAAACGTCTTTGGAAACTTTGAGAGTTGGGATTGGCTAGTGATTGATGCCTTTCACTTGTCTTAAGCAAAGTTTTTATTTATTTTTTAATTTAATTTTATTATTTTTTTATTATTTTTTTTTTAGGGGCATGTTTTATTTATTTATTTATTTGTTTGTTTGTTTTGTTTATACAAGCACTGGGTACAGTCAGAAGCGCGGGAAGGTGAGAGAATTCACCAGAGCCAGAGCGGGGAACAGAACAGGCAGACTGACGAAGTACACTGCTGAGGGGAGCAGCGGGCAACAGGAGAGGTCTGCACGCCATGTGGGACCCTCCTCCGGTGGCCGGGGAGCACAGGGGATCGGCGCCGCAGAGGCCGCGGGCAGCTTCACAACCCAGCGCTCAACTGCTGCGCCACCGGGGAGGCCCTTAAGCAAAGTTTTTAAGGAGGGGGCTAGGAAGGAATTTTCCCCTTCCATTTCAAAGAGGATGTGTGGTTCTGTTAGGGGGAAAGGCTGTCCTGAGCTAATTCCATACAGGCTTTGTGAATGCCACGCCTACTCCATCAAGACACTGGGAACTACAAATCCCATGATCCCCAAAGGGAAATTGTGAGGCCCTAAGGGCGGAATTACGCAGCCATTTTCTCTGTTTGTAAATAAAACCAGCCATGTTAGTGGGGCTGGGGCTCACCTGGCTCCTGCTCTTGGCCAGGCAGGTTTGGTCTCTGTGGGTCACTTGGGATTCTAGGTTGGTGGAACGGGTAGGACACATTTAAGAATTTATCTCTCTCTTTTCTCCCTGAATTGTACATTTCCTCAATTCCCCTTCCCTTGTAAATAAACCTTTGTTAACCTTTTGTGTGTGCCTGCAGTTTAAGTCCCCTTTAAGTGTGCGGGTGAGGACCCACAGTCAGGCAACCAGTTTTAGAGCGGGGTTGCCCTGTAACAGTTCCAGGCCCCTGTGCCTCCCTGGTGGTGCAAGGGGTTAAGCATCAGCACTGTGAAGCAATCCCCTAGCCCTCTCCTTGAAAATGAAAATTATTTCTAATTATTTGGGTTTATAGTGTGTTTCTACTTAACCTGGACACTGCCTTGAGAAGATCAGTGCTGTCCTATTTCTCCACCTGGCAAGAGCCACAGGCCCCCATCTTCCGCTTGCACCCATTTTCTAAACAATGCTTTCCAAGCTTTCTGCAGTCGGCTATGGGTATACTTAAGTGACTCTCATCAAAGTTAGGGAATAACTGAAATAGCGACTTTGGAAATTCTGTCCTTAGGGATGGCTGCCAGCTGCCGATGTCCTCAGATGTGACAATTGTGCAGCTGTGCCTGGTCATCCACGGTGGTGCTCATTCTGCTCATGCAGCTCGCCCCATCAAGAACTGGGCTGAAGCTGTTTCTCTTTATTTCTGTGGCTTTTGAGCCTTTTAAGACATTCCTGTGGAATCTTGCTGGAGAAAGTAATGCTAATACCATCGGTAGACACTCTCAAGCTACATAGAGATGATGGCAACTTAGAAAAACAAACTTAGTGTTGGATGACACCCTAGCAATCGGGTGGCCCCAGCCCTAGATTTTACCAACACTGACATGAGGTCCCAAGTCATAGCCCAGGGTCACAGAATGAGAGGCAGAGCTGGGAACAGGGCTTGGATCTGCCTCCCTAGCTGGGGTTCCTTTCTCTTCGGAAGATAGAAGATGAGGCTCTGAGTTTGTTGACATTACTGAACAATTTAGTGATCTCTTTCCTGTTCCAAAGCTGTTCTCTCTTTCTGACACATGTGACAACCTCAAGACTCACTTTCTTCAATTGCTCTTCAGTCTCTTTCAACATCCTCTACTACGTGGACCTAATCTACACACCTCTCCCTCACTACTGCTATATATTTACCATGTTCTCTGTATCAAATTGTACTGCTCCCTGACTGTACTTCCTGCCACTATTTCCCAGACTTTAGTAAAAATCTTCAGCAGGGTCTGTAAAGATGGAGATTTCCTGGCCTGTCTCAGCTTCAGGGATTCTGGGCCAGGAATTTGAAGTTTTAACCAGAATCTTCTGTGATTCTGAAGCAGGCAGCCCAGAAACCATGCCTTGAAAATCACTGCTTCACAATTTCTCACCTCCATAGGGGCAGTTTTCTGTTAGTATATTTGATAGCTTGGAATGACCACTCCTTAAATTACTAGCTAATTTGAGTTTGATTAAAATAAAACACTTGATCACTCTAAGCCTGCTTTTATATTTGTCAAACCTGGCTACTTGGCCTTATATTCTAGAAGTGTTGGGTGACATTAAAAAAAAAAACAATGCTTCCAGTAACAAATACTCTCTCTGACAGTCACAAAAAATAAGGCCTAAAGTTTTCTTCTTTGTGGTAGCTATGCTAAAAAGAAAAAGTCTGGAGAAAGCTGAAAACCCCTCAAAGTTTAAAGAAATTAATGGGAAAGGGTTAAGCAATAGGCTAAGTAGAGAAAAGGGTGGGATTTTGATCAAGACTTTGCACAGTCTCTTTAGACCTGGAGATTGAGACTCAAGCTTGAATGGAGTTGATTGACCTAGGGCAAGGCACACGCTCTGTCTGAAGTTCAGCTTCACATCTGTAACATGGGATGATGATAATGATGGCGCCCCTGCCTGCCTGTGAGACTGTGGTGCTGACAGATGGGACACACCTAAGCACTTTGTGAATTAATACAATTACCTGGTATTATATATAAGCTAATTCACACCAAAAGTGGGTACCTAATCTGCTAGATATTTCTCTTAGGATCACAATAAAGTGACTAGTTAAAAAGCTGAATGTCAGGAAAAACACCAATTTAAAAATAGAGCCAGAACTGGATCTGTGCCTCATGTGGTTAAGAAAAGTATTCAATTACTGTTTCCTTCATTTCCCTGTTTCTGGGAGTTGTGTTACTGTTTTATCAAGTTGCGTTACTGTGTTTGGAATTCCTATTTTGTTCTTCAGTAGCAGCTACATAACCTCTAATCACCTCTATTTTTCCTAATTGCTGACCATGGCAAGTTCAAATGGTAGGGATTTAAAGGTAAATTAGTTTAAAAAAACAAACACCAAAAGTAAGCAATAAACCAAAGTAATGAAAAACACACCGCTGAATTTTCCTGAATTGATTCTGCCAGAAAATTGAAGTTTAATAAACTGGCATCCAATTATGGTTGGTGCGCACAAGCCTGACTTTCAAGACGACATCTGTCCTTTGCAAATTCTGTCATCCACCTCAATGGTCTGCCTTATTTTTTCAACCCACTATGGGGATTCCAATCACTATCTTCTTCAAGTCATCAAGACACCTTCCCCCACCCCCAACCACGAATCTTCTCTGTTGTCTTATCCTTTGCTGGAACCACGCTCTTCTTTAAGAGTGCAAGGCTTTCTCCAGAAAACTTTCCAGAAGACCTCAACCTTTTTTGGAGGATCCTTGGCTTAGGCTGCCTTGCACTGCAAGTTGTCTATTTGGACAGCTGTTCTATAGATGGTAAGGCCCTCAGGACAGTCTTTTTACTTCTGCATCCTAGGGTGTAGGACAGGTCCTGAAAATATGGGAGCATGATACTTATTTATTATTGTTGGTGAAGATCCTGAAATAATTGTCTCCTTTGATGAGAGAGTAAACAAGGATGAGTACTGACTTTTAAAGAGCAACCTAATGTATGACAAGCAGGTGAAATGGTTATACGTGTGGGCTCTGGGATCAGGCTGCAAACTCATTTCTTGCATCTAATCATGCATAAGGATTAAATAAAAACATGAAAAAATTGGACACCGTACCTCTCTGTAATAAAATTTTTGCTTCTTGACTTAGCATTCAAGCTGTCACATGAACCAAACATGTCTTTTCATTCAAGCACTGGGACAGACATAGAGCTGAATATCGAATCCATTTAAATGAACTTGGAATAGCTGATGTTTTGCTGAAAAACTAATTTTTAAACCCAGCAAGAGATGTTGTTCCTTCAAAGGCAGTAAACTCAGATCTCTCATAAAGAGTATTTGTAAGTGGTTCCTTTTTTCTTTCACTATTGTGACCATGGTTGTATTTAAATCACTTCATCAAATGAAATAATTTTCTTATGAGACAAATTACAAACACTTTGGTTCTCTATGGTGAATTTTCCAAGGAGGGTATATTTCCCAGGAATTTGGGGCTCAGGGACTCAGAACTAAGTGTACTGATGGCAGAACTTATAAATAGTCCTACCCCAATCCAAGTAAAACTTATATTACAAAATAAATTCTTCCTCCCCACCAAGACATTAGAGATCCAAGTGAAATTGAAGAAACACACAATTTTTGAATTCTGTTGCCAATCTTAATTTGAAAGTGCTGCTGAATATACTTAATTTTACATGAGTATTGTGAGATTTCAGAGGTAAAGGTTAGACAAAGAATGGTGCTGCCAAGGAAAACTCATCACTCCTGCCCCTGGTGACAGGTAGACACCTGGGTGGGAATTCTTACTGCTGCTGATGGGAGCTACTTCAGGGAGGTACCTGCTGATTCTCCTACCTTCTAGCAGGGAGCAGAATTAAAATTCATGCCTTAGCAAATAACAAATGGTTAAAAGTAGATCATGGAGTGGATCGTGAATAGTTTACCTCTTGAAGACCAAGTGTCCCATATAGGATATTTTCCCCTTTAGTTTATTTCCTGGACAGATTGCTCAAGAATTAGCTGGCCTTGGTAGCCTAGAGACTTGGAGACTTGGCTTGGGTTGGCTTGACCCCTAAATGAACACCTCAGGCAATCACTGAGTAGTTTTGGTGCCTCATTTTCTCCATGGCTCTAGGG